TTGTTGCGCAAATATATATATATATATATATATAGAGAGAGAGAGAGAGAGAGAGAGAGAGAGAGAGAGAGAGAGAGAGAGAGAGAGAATCGAATAAATAATAATGAGTGTGCTACTAAGGTAACTATCACCCATTTTTATTTCAAAATATTTCCCTTTCGGTGGGAAAATAAGAATCGTCTCAATTTCCATGAAAAATTCAATCACAAAACAACAATTATGTAACAAATCATAATCATTAATCGATAAATGGCAAAATTTATATGTGATTTGGAGACAAAACGGGGCAACAAATTTTAATATTTCTATATTTGAGTATATAAAAATTGAAATTTAAGCTCGCAAATAATGACAACATTTAAATGCATGAAATAATACAAAAGTCGTCAATCAAATTATTAGTATTATTTAGGAGGTGTTTGAGCCATATTATTTTGTAATAATGCATTTTTGAATAGTGTATTGATGAGAAATGTGTGGTTAAAAAATAAGAAAAGTTTTTGATTTACATGTAATATTATTTTATTGAAAAATGTGTGGTTGAAATGATGTAAATCACTGTTTAAGAATATATTTTTTGAATAATGTGGCTCAAACAGCCTCTTAATATATTTCAATTGAGTCAATTATTGAATAAAATTTTTAACTGGGTCAAAATTAAAATTTAGGGTCAAAACTTTAAAAGTTCAAATTAAGAGCCCCTTATTGAAAATTACATTTTAACCCTAAATTCAAATTAAAATCAGGTCCCCAGTACCCAAAATTGCTTAACAGGTCATTACTTAAAATTTTGCAAAATAGGTCATAATCCCTTAATTTCTATTTGGGACCTGTAAACTCACAAATTGCAAGACTAGTCCCATCCCCAAATATATTACATGCGGGTGAAATTAGAGATTAAAACCCAAAAGAAAAAAAAAAACGCCATTCTTCTCTTAGCCGCCATCGCCGCTGGCATGGCTAGATGTCAATAATGACCGATTTATTAACATATAGGGAGTTAGAAATTCAAAAAACAACCACGACCCTCTCCACTGTTCGGCAATTGTAGAGATAAAAGGATTGATGTGGAGATGAAAGTGGAGTTTTTGTGGTCGTGGAGAATTGGGTTTCGTTTTGTAGAACCCTTTTTTTTTTTTTTTTTTTTGGTGTATGTGTGTATTTCTTGGCATGATAGTGGTCCTATTTAGAGACCGGAGATGGCGATGATGTGGTGGTGTAAGCTTTAGAGAAGCAAGGGTGCGAATTGCTTCTCAGAATTTTATTTGAATTTGAGTGGTATTAATTTTCATACCACAAGCAACAAGGAGAAACACTACCACAGATTTGGGGAAAATCACATAAACACCAAGTCTTGGCCACAGAAGAAGGAAGTGGGTGTTCTGCAAGTTGCGCTCTAGATTTGCAGATTAAGATGACGAAGGGAATGTGGTGTTTTGATGGCTTACGTTTTCGACTTCTTTACTGAATTATACACATATGCATACACGAAAATATATATGCACAGAAACGTGAAATAAAAAAAAAATTTCATGAAATATTTCGATCTTAACATGCCGCTCTGATACCAATTATTAAATTTAAATTTTAATCATGCTAAAAATTGAGAATCACAATACAATAATTAATAAAACTAATTCATACTTGCGGAAGCCATTATTAGTATGAATAATAGTGGTAATAGCAATCAAGATCTACCCCTCCTTACTCCTCACAAAGTATTAGTTATCAATGGGTCAAGCCAATAAAATATGTGGAGAGGAGAGGGGACCTAGCCTTTATATATAGAAAATAATTTGAGTCGTCCCATTACGACTAGAATTCTAATTAGGATTTTATTTCCAGCCCACATACATAAAATTGCCACATCAAATTAATCACAACCCGTAATGTGTAAAAGACCAATTGATCACTTAATAAATTTGGCCCAATCACAAATATTATTATAAGCCATACATCTAATCCGTAAAAGTTGTAATCGAATGTGAAGCCCACATATGGAATTATTTCAACGGTGAAATATCATTTCTTGAGAGATCTCACGAATGATAGAGTAATTAGCCTACTTTATTGCAGAAGTGAAGACCAGATTGCTGATATTCTAAGCCTTTCAAATTTTCTGCGTTTCAGAAGCTCGAGAAGCTACTTGGTGTTTGTGCTTGTTTGACTCCTATTAAACGGAATGTAATGTTTGGAACATCAGTATCAGGGACAGTTGAATCAGTAATTTACATGTTGACCTAGTCTTTAGCATCATCAGTTAGTTTGTTTCTAATTACCTAGTCTATTGGATTTGTTATTCAGTTCCTTTTTCATGCTATTACCTGTTGTGTTAATGTCTATATAAAGGCTATTTATTTGATGAATAGAGCATAGCATACAAGTACGTTCTCTCCTTTCTTTAGTTCTACTGTCCTCTTTTATATTCAACATACACAAGCTCTCAATTAAATATCAAACTGATGAGAATTTGGTCAAGAAAGTTAAAAGACAACATGCAAAAAATATTACGTCCAACAATTAAACTAGATGGCCATTCATAAATAGTAGAAGAGCCGGCCATCACTTCACATTCTTCAAGTCTTTAAAGAGAAAATCGCAATTTAGTAAGTAGTATATAAGATGCAGAACTCCATTATACACATAAGGCCATATGCTCGAATAGACAGAAAATGACAATGTTTTGTTGAAACCATTAAATCTCCTCATCGTTAACTCCAATTCACACACCATCACTTTCCTTCAATGGTGCTCTCGACAAGCTAGCATGCTTGCCATACTTTCTCTTAAGGTCCTTTTTCTGATTTGGTTAAGGGGACATTCTTGCCCGACTTTATGATTTGGTTGTTAGTCTGTCCCAAAACACAATCCTCGTGCTACTTGCTTCCTCCAAACATTTTGTGTTCATGGCTTACTACCGATTATTCCCACTGATTCGCTACATATGTGCCTTGCCTGAGGGGAGCCGTTTATTACTCTATGGCTCACTCGAAGTGTTATCATACCATATTCATCTGCGTTCAAATTTAAGGGTTTTCTCCTGTTATGTGGCTATTTCCAATTCCTATGGTGCTTTGTGGTTAATATTGAGTAGTGGCTCGCAGGCCACCATGCTCAAAGTCAAACACAAGTTTGTGGTACGTTCTAGTCATTAGCATAATTGGATGTTGATTTTGACTACATATAGAGCAAACGAGGGCGTGTTTTCAAGTTATGAAAAATACATTTCACTTAGTACTGTGGTTTGTAAAATAATAATTAAAAATATTGGACGGGATGAAGTTTGCCATGGTTAGGTTTTTAGTTTACTAAAATTAAAACATTTTTGAACAATCATTATATCACTACCAGAAAACTACACAGTTGTGGCAACCTAGTGATATTAACTGTCATAATTGTTTACGTTCAGTATGCATATATATGCCACTGATATGTCAGTCTGTTCAAGCTTTCTCCGTTGGTAACTTGTCATAAGAGAGTTATAGAAGAACTGGATTTTGAATTGAAATCTGAAAAGGGAAAAAAAAGCAATTATTGTCACTTGTTTATAGTGTCTGTTAATAAAATGAAACAGTAAACATATATAGAAAAAATAGTTTTCAAATAGAATAAAGCTATTTCTACAACTGTTGATGACAATTGTGATTGATAGCATTGATTTTGTCAAAATCTGGACTACTGATTAAAAAAAAAAATTTATAAAATAGATGAATGTGAAGTTGCCAAGTGTGTTATTACTCAAGATTGTAAAAAAAACATTGTACAAGTAGTATGATTGTTTCAAATAATAGTTGTTAAACAGGGGCTTACTATCTTTGGCCCTTATATTTGAGTAATTATCCCAATGGTTGACTCTCGGACTATGCCATTGAGGTTGCACTTGAAGTGGTAGTATTAGCAGTTGGTGTGCTTTTTCTTTGAGGCTTATGGGCTTTGATTAAAACTTGCCATTAGCGACAGTGACAATAATGTGGTGTAACGACACAATTTGGTAGGCATGACAATAGGGCGTGGAGCCCTGTCCCTGCCCCTTTTATATATTTTTAATCAGCTTCAATTTTAGCCTATATTAGGCAATAAGTGTATTTAACTATTTATAAGTGTGGAGTGCTCGACGAAGTGTCCATCTTAACTAGTTGGAATTGTGTTGGAAAATATAAAAAGAGTAACGGATACAATGGAGGAGGATTGTCAGTGGCAATAGAGTACATAATGGTTTCGCCTTAGTGAGGCTGTCGTGATCAATATATTTGAGGTTTAGTGCTAAGATGGTCGAGGACTATGACTGAGTCATTTATCGAGTGGATCTGATGTTTGAACCTTGTTCTAGTCTCGTGCAGATCATGTCCTTATTGGAAATCTCCGTCTGTGGTACAGTGAGTAAGGATGTCACATTTTCATCAGGCTTGTCATCACAGTGATGTGCTTGACAACCATGGTTGGATTGGTGGAGGGGTCCCCAATGGATTTCAAAAAAGAAAATGTCCTGGAAACATGTTTTCTACAAAAATGTCATTTGTGTTGGTTAATATTTTTATTAGCTTTGTGCATTTTCAAATGTTTACATAAACCGCGGCTGGTCCCTCCCTAAGGTGCCTTAATTATGCATATTAATCTACGCTAGCTGTACTGCGACATAATAAAGGCAATCTTTGGACCAGGGAAAGAGCGGGAGAGGGAGAAAAGTAGAAAAAGAATTAAACTGGATTCTTGTCGACAAAAAATGTCAAAAAGAGTATCGAAAAGCTAAGCCAAGCCTTCCCTTTAAATGGTTTATATATATGAAATCAGATGAATAGTGGAGTTTGTGCAGGACTGAAGTTAGTTGAATTGCTTTTCTGATGGTCTTTAGTAACTTCTGATTTTGGTTCATTACTTATTTTTCTTTAAGTGCATACAGTCTGCCTGGTATAAACTGGTATAATTAATAATTTAATTTTAAGGTTATGATGCATGTTTTCAACACAATACACTAATTACATTGATAAAAAGTGGACTAATCTACATCAAACTGTCATTTTATACCAAATCATTCCAAATTATAATGGAAACTTTGCAGCACTAAGAAGTTTGAGACTATAAAAAACCTATGATTCCCACCTTTGTTATCACTCTGTATTTGGGCTAATTCATTTGCCACTTCTTAGACTGCCTTCATATCATTGAATTCAATACACAAGACAATGAATAGCAATTCGATGACAACTGAACTTTTGATCATTGGGGTAATCCTAATTTTTTTTGGCGTTGCCACAGCTGGCCTGGGAAGTGGTGGTGAAGGAGAACCAGCGCTCCCTCCAGCAGTGAGTGAGTTGATTTTTGCTGATCAAAGACTAGCCGTGGTGTATCCTGTCATTCAGAAATTCAAAAACATAATCACCTCAGATCCTCTTAATATCACTGCATCTTGGAGTGGCACAGATATATGCAACTACAGAGGATTTTATTGTGAAAGTCCTCCAGACAACAGATCTGCTACTGCTCTGGCCTCCATTGATTTCAATGGATTCCAACTAAGCGCCCCAACTCTCGAAGGATTTCTCGATCAACTACCTGATATAGCCCTCTTCCACGCCAACTCCAACAAATTTTCGGGGATCATCTCTCCAAACATTGCAAAACTCCCCTATTTATACGAGCTTGACATAAGTAACAACCTGTTTTCAGGGCCTTTCCCAACTGCCATTTTAGGCATGGATGGCCTATCTTTCTTGGACATACGTTTCAATCTTTTCACCGGTTCAGTACCCTCGCAGTTGTTCACCAAGGACCTGGATGCACTTTTCATTAACAACAACAATTTCATGACCAGGCTCCCTGACATCATAGGCAGCAACCATATTCTTTATCTTACCTTAGCCAACAACAAATTTTTCGGGCCAATCCCACATAGTATTTCCAAGGTATTTTCCACCCTAACAGAAATTTTACTGCTCAACAACTTTTTAAGTGGCTGTTTGCCATATGAATTGGGGTTCTTGAAAAAAGCTGTGGTGTTCGATGCTGGGAACAATAAATTGACAGGTCCATTACCTTTCTCCTTGGGCTGCCTTGAGAAGCTCGAGGTTCTTAATTTTGCTGGTAATCTGTTATATGGGACAGTACCAGAGGTTCTATGCGCTGTAGAAACTTTGACAAATTTATCGCTGTCTGATAACTATTTTACGCATGTTGGGCCAATTTGCATGAGCCTGATCAAGAATAGAGTACTTGACGTGAAGAAAAATTGCATTCCGGGGTTGCCATTTCAAAGATCATTGGTGGAATGCGTTTTATTTTTCTTGCACCCAAGATATTGTCCCTATATTGGGACATATCATTATATTCCTTGTTGGCATCCTCATTTCAGCTCTTCTCCATTAGCTCTAGCTGATAAGGCCCCTTCACCTTCTTAATTTCTTATTAATCTTGTGATCATGATCCTCAGCTTATATGTTATGTAAGGGTCATAAATATTTTCCGACTATCACGGTGCAGTTTAATAGTGCAACACAACAGAAATAATTTTAATAATGCTCAATATGTCTTAGTATTGCTATATCTTTTGGCCTTAGTTTCTATACGATACGTGTTAAGGGAAAAATTACACATCAGTTAAATACCGAATATAGACCAACATATAAGTGTTTGGGCTCCTCCTCCTCCTTCGTCTTTTTTTTAATAATGTTGACTTTTGAAGATGAAACTCTAATTTTTAATATGGTATCAGAGATCAATAAGCTCCAAAGAGCAACTTGATCCAATTAATACTAAAAAATGAGTACACAAATTTCAAGATTGATCTGCTGAAAAACGAGTTACTATCTTACGGGAGCAAGTTAAGGGTAAAATCCCACATTAATTAAATATCAATATATAGATCAACATATAAGGATTTGAGCTACTATTCTCAATAATGTTGACCTTTTAATATATAACCTCAAATAGCACGAGGATCAATGTGTCGAGAACAATGGACTTATCGCACTTCAACCTTAATGGAATTTGAAACAATAAGAAAACATAGTTACCCTTTATATGCCATTTTATTCAAAGACATCTCAAACATGACACAATCTTGTACATTTTTCTTATGACTTTATAACTCCAACCACCCCACCAAGAAGAGAAAAAAAGTAGTCCACTTTCAGGAATAGAAACGTGAGACTAAAGGGGCTTGTCAATGGATTCAATAATTTATAGGCCAAGAACCTGTAGTGGTTGACATCAACTCCATTACTGGAAAGTTCAGTCACACTCTTCAAAGCAAATGAATCAACTAACCCACTGAGAATGAAAATTCTCAATTTTGTGAGGGCTTAGAATGTCAGTGGACGTCACTTATTTTCATTAAGAAATTGAAAAGTTTGGATTGCATATGAGTGGATAGCAATACTTTGCTTTGCTCTATGCCAGACAGTATTGTACTACATAATTTTATGTCAGCATTATCGTTACAAACTTTAGTGACCAAATATACAGATATATTCATTGGAGATTATATATAATTTCAGCATGTAGGTTCCCTCCTCGCCTACATAGTAAAACATTTAACAAGAGGCAAAAATCCAAGTGAGCACATAGATAATTATCCTCATTTTTTCCTTTTTATAAGGAACTATTATTACAACAAATTATACTCTAACAACTGTCTTTTGCATCAATTGTGAGAGACTTGTATATGTTCCTTAAATCGAGCCGATAATTGGTGGTTGGTGTCAACTTAAGCTCAACATTATCTTCGTAATGTCACAATATGTCAACACGTCCCAATCTTGTTAAACAAGATTGCTGTAATCGATCACGACAACTTTGAGTGTTTTTTTTTTTCTTTCTCTTTTGACTTTCACTTTTGAAATTAATGAAAACAGAGAAGTTAGTGGCTTATAAATCCATGTGGCTTAGTTTGTAACTTTTGAAAGCCTAGGGATTAAAATTTCAATTTATGAAAAAACTTACGTCTATTTCTTTCAGACCCGATGTATCATCTATAAGATGGTATTTGTGGTCTAAAGGTATTGACGATGCCAATATTGATATACCTCGAGGACTCCATATATGCTCAATCTCACCTTTCTACTTTGGTCTCGGGATCTCCCTGAGACCTCGAGGTATTTTGGTCCTCGAGGTAGCTCATGCAAATATGAACATCAACCTCTCAAGTCCTCGAGAATAGTCCTCGGGACATATACCACCAACATACCTTCTAAGACTTAGGTACCTAACAAATAAACCTAAACACTCAAGAATTCTATATCAACCCTTATACCACTTGTCAAACAATTCCATTACAAGTAGGGCATTCTTTATAAATAGAATTCCCTTGGATAAAAACATCCAACCAACACAATCCTACTAGGAGTGCACTACCTACCCCTATAAAAGCAGAACCTTGGGCCATTATTCAGGTACGTTTTTCATTGGTCTCCAGCATATAGCCTCACGCATATAATTCCCTTTTGGACTTAAGCATCGGAGGGTCGACGAGAACACACCTCGTTGCCTTTGTTTTAGGTACCAAAAGATCACGTTCGTGCTCTTCATCAGTCATCAAGCTCGAAAAATCTGCAGGTACGATTTTTGGTACCATCATTGGCGCCGTCTGTGGGAATCGCTACCAAAAGCCATGGTAAACACACGTTCAAGTCTTCCACCAGCAAGCTCATCCGCTCCAAACCAACCTCCTCCTGAGGATATCCCTATTCCTCAAGAGGAATCATCAGAAGTGCCAGAGCCCCAGCCGGCAGTCGTTACTACCGGAGCCTTTGAAGAGCTCAGACAATAGGTCGCCACACTGACTCAGCTGCTAAGTCAAAGAAATTCGCATCCGTCACCCACACCGGTACCCCAGGGGGGTTTTATGGCTGATGCTCGAGCTCAGAGACATGTCCCTGACAATGGCGGAGCAGGGACCTCGGGCATACCACATGTGACCTCGGCCTCGAGATCAGTGACCATGGAGTCCAGGGAACTCGCTTGGATTATTCAAGAAGGAATTACGGTGGCCCTACTTCAGGGCAACAAAGGGTCAGCAAGATTTAGTCCCAACACTCCCTTTACTCCTGAGATATTGACATTCCCCTTGCCAGATAGATTTAAGTATCCTAGGATCAAATAATATGATGGGACCACCGATCCAATCAATCATCTTAACGTATACACGGACGTCATGAATCTACAGGTCGCACCGGATCAGGTGATGTGCAAGGCCTTCCCGCAAACTTTGACGAATGCTGCTAGGGATTGGTTCCCAACCTTAGAGCCCAACTCCATAGCCTCATTTTCGAATTTGGCGGACAAGTTCTCTGCTTTCTTCGCAAGCAGTAAACGCATCAAGAAGACAGCGACTTCCCTCATGCAACTTAGACAAGGACAAAATGAGACCCTACGTGACTTCATGACCAGGTTCAACAAGGAAAGACTTCAGATTCCCGACCTACATATAACTGCAGCAGTTTCTGCCCTCACATAAGCCATAAAGTGTGAGGCTTTCAAGATGTCTTTATCCAAAACTCCGCCAAAGACAGTGACCGAGCTTCTTACCCGAGCCGAGAAGTACATAAATATGGAGGAAACACTGAACCTGAGAAAGGTTGGACCATTCCATGATAGGGTCGAGCATAAACGATAGCACGACCCGAACCCCCGTCGAGAACCACCTCGAAGAAAACAGAGACAGGAGGTTCCCCCGACATCATTCACGCATTTAAATACGTCGAAAACAAATATATTGATGGAGATCAAGGATATGAAGGAACTCAAATGGCCTGTCAGAATGAGGTCACCACCCGAATCTAGGGACATGAACACGTACTGTGAGTTCTATCGGGATCATGGGCATACCACAGAAAACTATAAGGCCCTGCAACTGGAGATTGAAGCCCTTATTAAAAGAGGACTCCTGAGTTCCTACGTCGGTAACGACAAACGCCCGAGGAACGATCGTGGTAGGGAAAGAGCCCTTGAAGCAAAAAGGGATGGTCAACCTACTGCTGGAACCATCAATATCATCATTGGGGGTATTTCCTCGGAAGGAGACTCGAACAATGGAAGAAAACAATATGCCCGACAATATGCCTTGGCCTCTTGGATGCCTCATGGAAAACTGGAGGATATTACTTTTGGAACCAGGGACTTGGAAGGTGTATCACTTCCACATGATGACGCCTTGGTCATCTCAGCGATTGTGGCCAATTTTGAAGTAAAGAGATTCTTGGTTGACAACGGGAGTGCGGCCAATATACTTTCACAAAAGGCTTTTGCCAAAATGGGAATCTCATCTCAGCAGCTTAAAGCGGTTAAAACTCATCTCCAGGGGTTTGGGGGAGGAGTCATCACTCCAGAGGGTGTTGTCGAGCTTTCTCTAACTTTGGGTTCTGGCCAGAAACAGCTTACGGAGATGATAACCTTTCAAGTGGTACGTGTCTCAATGGCCTATAACGCTATTCTGGGAAGACCACTCCTGAACAAGATCAAAGCCATTGTGTCTACCTTCCACCTAGCCATGAAGTTTCCAACAAGTAATGGCGTTGGGGTCGTGCGTGGAGACCAAACAGCTGCCAGACTATGCTATGTTGCCAGCGTTCGGGAAATAAATAACGACGTCATGCAAATCTCGAGGACGGAGCCCGAGACCGGGCAACAAGTCAGACTTGCTCCTGTCGAAGAATTGATGGAAATCGAGCTCAAGCATAATAAGAAGGTGACGATTGGTCGGGATCTTGACGCCACCCTAAAGATAGAACTTATTGGTTGCTTATCCCGCAACATTGGCGTTTTTGCCTGGAAGGTTGAGGATATGCCGGGGATAGATCCCCAAATTGCAGTCCACAGGCTTAACATTAGCCCATGGACCAGACCAGTAAAGCAGAGGAAAAGACAGTTTGCCCCAGAACGTCGGGAGGTCATTTGTGAAGAAATTAACAAACTCGTCAGTGCTCAATTCATTCGGGAGGTCCAATATCTCGATTGGCTTGCCAATGTTGTTTTAGTGAAGAAGGCCAATGGTAAGTGGAGGGTTTGCATTGACTTCACAGATCTTAACAAAGCATGTCCAAAGGATAGTTATCCCCTACCGCGGATTGACAACTTGGTGGATAGCACATTTGGACATAAGCTATACAGCTTCTTGGATGCATTTTCTGGTTATCATCAAATCCTCATGGCCGAGGAAGATCAAGAAAAGATGTCATTCATGGCCGATTCCGCCATATACTGTTATAAGGTCATGCCTTTCGGTTTGAAGAATGCAGGGGCAACATACCAAAGGCTCATCAACAAAGTCTTTGCTAACTTGATTGGAAGGAATGTGGAGGCGTACGTTGATGATATGGTGGTCAAGAGAAAATAGGTGGACCAGCATATTTCCGATCTTGAAGAGGTTTTCAACACCTTGCAAAAGTACAGAATGAAGCTGAACCCCACAAAATGTGCATTTGGCGTAGCTTCGGGCAAGTTCTTGGGCTTTATGATCACTCACCGGGGATAGAGGCTAACCTTGACAAAATACAAGCCTTGGCATCTATGGAATCACCAAGGAACAAGAAAGAGGTACAGAGGTTGACTGGTAGGATAGCAGCCTTGAATATGTTCATGTCCCGAGCATCAGACAGGTGCTATCCCTACTTCAAAGTCCTAAGAGGAAACCAAGGCTTTGATTGGAGTGAAGACTGTGAGAAAGCTTTTCAGGAGCTCAAGCAAACATTGGCATCTCCTTCTATTCTCACTAGGCCTGAGCCTGGTGACACCTTATTTTTGTACTTGGCCGTATCTCAAAACGCGGTCAGCGGGGTCTTGGTGAAAGAGGTTAACAGAGTCTAACAACCTATCTACTATGTAAGCAAGGTCCTACTAGATGCGGAAACAAGGTATACTTTGGCGAAACAACTTGCCCTTGCCTTGGTGATAGCAACACGGAAACTCCGACAGTATCTTCAGTCTCACCTTATTGTGGTGCTCACTAATCAACCACTTAAGCATATACTTCAGAAGCCGGACGTCTCAGGAAGACTGATGAAATGGGCGATCGAGCTTGGAGAATTTGACATCGAATTCAAACCATGCCCATCTATCAAAGCCCAAGCACTACCCGACTTTATTGCAGAACTAACCCCTAGGCCTCGGGGGCCAGGTGACGGCTCGAGCATGAGCACCAATTTGAACACTTGGCAAATTTTTGTAGATGGAGCATCGAACTCCTCGGGCTCGGGTGCAGGGGTCATCATCATCAGCCCTGACAAACATACGGAGATTCAATGCTCTCTTAGGTTCGAGTTTGAAGCAACCAATAACGAGGCCGAGTATGAGGCCGTCGTTATTGCTCTGGAGCTAGCCCTTAGCCTTGAGCTCGAGTTCATGGAGGTATTCAGCGATTCACAACTGGTGGTCGGATATATTGAAGGATCATTTGAAAGGAAAGATGAGAAAATGAGTTTGTACTGCATGAAGGTTCAGGATCTCCAACGAAAATTCAAGAGTTGTGAAATTGCAAAAGTTGCTCGAAAGGACAACGGAAAAGCCGACGCATTATCCAGGCTTGTGTTCATGGGGGTAGACAGCCTGGACAGAATAGTTCACATCAAAGTTATCACAGAACCCAGCATCAATCAAATCCCCGACGTCGTGGACATTGACAACGAACCGTCTTGGATGGACCTAATCATAGAATTCATCACAAGTGGAAATCTACCAAGCGATGCCAGGTTGGCTAGAAACATCAGAGCTCGAGCTCCTAGGTACTGCATGATCAGCGGTGTCCTCTTTCGCAGAAGTATTACTCTTCCATACCTAAGGTGCCTTAGAGAATTAGAATCATCCCAGGCCCTTGCTGAAGTTCATGAAGGTGTGTGCGGGAATCATCAAGGAGCCAGGGCCCTGGCCTTTAAACTCATACGATATGGGTACTATTGGCCAACTATGAAGAAAGACGCCTCAGAATATGTTAAGAGATGTGATAGGTGCCAGAGGTTTGGTAATGTTATCCACTCACCAGCCGAAGACCTCACCAACATTAACTGTTCGGCCTCGTTTGAACAATGGGGAGTTGACATCCTCGACCCCTTTCCTGTGGCAAGAGGCCAATTAAAGTTTGTTGCTGTAGCAGTAGAGTATTTTACAAAATGGGCAGAGGCCGAACCTCTCGCCACGATATGCTCAATCTCACCTTTCTACTATGGTCCTAGGTATCTCCCTGAGACCTCGAGGTATTTTGGTCCTCGAGGTAGCTCATGTAAATATTAACATCAACCTCTCAAGTCCTCGAGATTAGTCATCGGGACATATACCACCAACATACCTTCTAAGACTTAGGTACCTAACAAACAAACCTAAACATCCAAGAATTCTATATCAACCTTTATACCACTTGTCAAATAATTCCATTACAAGTAGGGCATTCTTTATAAATAGAATTTCCTTGGATAAAAACATCCAACCAACACAATCCTACTAGGAGTGCACTACCTACTCCTATAAAAGCAGAACCTTGGGCCATTATTCAGGTACATTTTTCATTATTCTCCAGCATATAGCCTCACGCATATAATTCCCTTTTGGACTTAAGCATCGGAGGGTCGACGAGAACACACCNTTTTTCATTATTCTCCAGCATATAGCCTCACGCATATAATTCCCTTTTGGACTTAAGCATCGGAGGGTCGACGAGAACACACCTCGTTGCCTTTGTTTCAGGTACCAAAAGATCACGTTCGTGCTCTTCATTAGTCATCAAGCTCGAAAAATCTGTAGGTACGATTTTTGGTAGCATCAGGTATCATTGCAATTTTTGGCTGGAAGTGCTCATATTTCAATAAATAAATAAAATAAAAATGCTTATTCAATTATTTATTTGACTAAATACATTATTGTGTACAAATAGATGATATAAAAGAGAGAGAGAAAAAATAGAAGAAAATAAAAGTAACATTACTCTATTTATTTTATGTTGTACAAATTGACCCCTGCAACTGGAACTGAAAGTCTGAGGGGTTGAATGCCAAAAATATAAATTGTGAACTCATGTGTTCTATTTATCAAAATTGAGGAACCTTATCTGAAAATTTCCCCCCAAAAAAATTCTACCAATTAAATTCAAGGAGCAAAGAGAATTTACTAGAAGGATCTGGTTCTAATCAGACTAGTCCCCAATTTGTAATATAAACTAAGACCTACTGAATAATATATGGAGGGAATAAAAAATAAAAGCTTTAAAATCGAAAACTGAAAAATGCCATGGAAGGTATGGACGCTGATATGATGGAAACGGAGGCAAACGCTCCGCCGCAACCGGTGGCTGTAAATGCCGACCAGACTGACGCTGTTCGGAATTTGCTGATAATGGCTAGGCAACTCATCGATCAAAACAAGCCTTCTCAGTCTCTTCAAGCGGTAATTTTTAGTTATCTTACTTGAATTAATTCTTTGAAATTCCGATAATTTGTTGTTGTTATATAATTATAGTTTACGTTTATTATTTTCTGTGGTAAATGGATCCTCCTTTTTTGTATTGAAATTGTGTCAAGTTAATTGGCGTCAATCTTTGCATTTTAATTACAAGTTCCACTAGTGGTAACTCTTGATTCTCCCTGTTAATTAACCTATGCATTGTAAAACACAAAATTTGAAACAGTATAAGCACATCATTACCTAGCCAGTAAATGAGTGAAAGAAAAATAGATAATTTACAATATAAAAACAAACACTATGAAGGTAGAAAGAGAATTATAGTTTAGAGACATAAGTTTTCCGATTTTCTTTGTGGATGGGGTACTTTGTACTACCGAGAAATATGAAACTTCAAAGTTTTTGTTGAAGTGAAGGTAATAAAACTAAGGCTTGCGAGAAGAATAGATGTGTTGGCTTTAGAAGAGGAATCGTTGATCGTTGGGGAAAGAAGGTGTTAGAAATAGAAATGAAGATGATTTGTGTTGCATACGTGATGATCTATCTTTTCTCAGGTGAATAAGGGAACAAAGCAATCCTATTGTTCATGGGATTCTGGCCTCTAAATTGCATGATTAAAGGTGTGGGGCTTAAAAGGCTATAATTGATTGCATGAGGTCTTGATAGCAAAATGTTAAAAATGCACGAATGTAGTGTGTCCGAGGCTAATGGTTCTAATAGGCTAGAGAAGGATTACAAGGGTGAACAAAGCCCAAGACGAGAAAAGACCTGCTCGATTTGAAAAGTCAAGTCACAGTCTGCTATAGACGAGAGGAAAGCCGAAAGAAAATCAAGGCTAATGGCTTGGTAGGGCAACATCCATGGAAAAGAAGAATGACTTCACATTGATTTGATGAAGTTTGTGAGCCATTCGATGAGGTGAATGACAAGGTTTCCTTGTGAAGTAAACCAATTGCACGAAGGTTAATAGCTAGCATTGTTGATACAAAACAAAAAAAGAAAAAAAAAATATATCTAGGCGAATTTCTACAAAAATAGTTGGACCTTGAAATTCAGCAACCACTGAAACTAGGAAATCCTAAGACATGGCTTGTCCAATTAATCTGGCCGTTAAAGCTTCAGCAAAGATTGATCTTTATTTGCGATCTCACATGAACTATTACAATTTGATTGCTCAAGTCCATATTGACATTTTTAACACCATCAACAATCTGCAATTTATTCTTTACTGAAATAATACAACATTCACATTTCATAGCCTTGATAAGTTCCGTTAGTGGCTCCGATTAAACCACATTGTTCTGGGCAGGTGGTTTTTGATGTGATGAGGGAGAGTCCATAGGAACAATAGCTAGTAATGAGTTTTTGAAACTATTGCCAATGAAAAGAACAGTGCAAAATGGGGTGGGGGTGGGGTTGGTGGTGGGATAGCAACTCAACTCTGATAACGTCCAGAGATAATAGCATAATAAAGAAGAGTTTATCCAATAGTTTACACAGGACTGGTGAATTCACAATTAATGATAATAAGGATTGAGAAGCACATAAATTACCACATGCAAACTTTCTTTAAATTTTATGTGAGGACTGTTCTCAAGTAGAATGATTGACATTTCCTGAGATTCTGTAAAATGTCATAGCCAAAGGGTAAATTGAGCATTAAATAGAGAGTCTCCCTCAAAAGGTGTGGTGGTGGATGTTTGAATGGAAATCAATTCCTTCAAAAATATAGTAAAATTATATTTTTTTAGTTATGTTGTATTATAGATGGTTAAGTTTATCACATAATCTAATGAGATTGATTGTATTTTTATTACATAGGTAGGAAAGTAGAGGTTAATATGGCAGATAAAAATACCAGCAGCACTTTACTGCATAACATTGTATCTTCATTTAATTATTACCCCCACAAGTCTCAAATCGACATGGTGGCTCATGTTGATAAATATAATGAAATGGATCAACACAGATATTACAGTCATTATCAATTTATTTTATTTTATTTTATTTTTTTAAGTTGGAGTTATTTTTCTAATGAATTCTCCGTTGAGCTAAAATCTGCTTGCTTGGCTTAGCTTTCAAGTGCTTATAAGTGGTAGTTCCTAGAATGTGTGGTTAGGTCTTGCAGAATGTGTATAAAAATAGAGTTTGACCATCTTATGCACTTATGAGCTTTGCCAAACGTATTTTGCAGTGCCTTCCTGATTTCCATTACGTTATTTGGTAAAATAGACAAGAAATACTGTTGTGACACTGTATAGAGAATAAAGAAGGTAGAGAAGAAGGGAGGGGAAAAAGAGGACAAGTGAGGCAATGGAAAAGAAGAAAAAAGAATTGGAGGAAAGTTCAAGAACTTTGTATTCAATATTAATAGTTTATTTATTAATGGAAGAGAATGAATCAATATAAGAATACTCTTGTAAATGACAAGCAGAAAAGCAGCAGCAACTTCGTTTCTGAAGACCAAATATCTAGCTTTTTGACTCTTCAATACAGTGCCAATTAGGATCTTTGTCACTCTTATTGCCCTGGTCAAGGATGTTGTATAGAACGTGACTGGAATTAGATGGATCCACTAAAGAACATCCTTCTTCCTTTTTTGGAAGAAAAGGAGGAACCAAACTTAATCCATGACATGGAAGAAATCTGAGTGATGAAGTGAACTCTTCTCATTTTCCAAAGTATGGCCATGGGTAGGTAAGACTTTTCTAGTCGACTGGCACATTTTAAGAAGTGATATTTCATCCCACTTTATTTAATCATTCTGATGATTAGTTGAAGGTGTTAGTATGTTGAACCAAATATTGCACTTTAGATGTTTTTGAAATTGAAAACTAAGGCCCCGTTTGGTACCCATTTTTTTCAAAATGCATTTTTCTCTCTCTTCTTTTCAACCATACATTCTTTATTAAAATAATATTACATGTAATCAAAAACTTTTCCTTATTTTTCAACCACATATTTCCTATCAATTTACTATTCAAAAATGCATTTTTACATAAAAATGTCTCCCCAACACCCCCTAAAATTCATAAATGTAAATCATGCTTCGAGTTGACTGCAAGGCCATCATTTTGGGGATCCCAAGAAGTACAAAAGTATTCAAATATTCTTCCCTTGTTCATTCTGATTTCTACTGATTTGTTGGAACATTTTCACCTTTTGCTCCCCTTCAACATCAATCCTTCCATCGTGGAATCTACTATGTCTCTTGCTATTTGAAGTGGGAACTTTATAGTCATCTTCCTGACATGACTTGGAAAGGAAGCTAGCATTTGTTTGGTTGTCCTGGTAATCTTTATATGGATTTGAATTGCGGATTATGTTTGTTTTCATGCATTTCAGTTTCTTCCTATTCTATGTGACAAGTGATTACAGAATAACAAACTTTTGAACATATGTTCTTTATATTTGAAAGATTAGGAATATAAAACTTGATGTTAAAAGAATGTGATAATTTCAATTTCAACTTGGTGCATTATTCTTGAAGGCTGAAGCATTTCCATATACGATATACTTTACAGGTGGTGATGGCAATGAGATTACAAGGTGGGGATGAAGCTGTTTCTCAAGCTCTTAACCGTGCTCGAGAGCTCTACAGAAACAAAGTTCAAGCTAGTGCTGCTGCTGATGAGCTGGCTTCATTGTTTGCCGAATGTGCAATTGCAGAGGCCATGCCATCACAATATGAATCATCTCAGCACCCTGTTATTGCTCGATCCATTGAACCAAATGTTCAAGGAACTTGTATACTTTCCGAGACTGGCAGGAAGCAAATCGTGCTTGATGCATTCTCAGATGGAAGCAGCTTTGTCTGCTTACAATGTGGGGGTCTTGTTAGCAATCACCGCAAAGAGGAACACTATGCATTCTGGTGTTGCAAAATCTGACTTCGATTAGGTTTTTGAATGTAATGCTTGTCAGTACTATTTTCTCTCATTGAAATGCATGCAATGTTTGTGGTGTAATTTGCATATGCATATGATGACCCATTTCGAGGATGTATCCCCTTCTACTTGAGATATACACTTGGCATCTGTGGCACAAGGTTTGCCAATCATTGGAATAGATATCTTGTCGCTCACAAATGTTAGGTTGTATCTTATTATGTGTACCATGATCATAGAATAATAAATGAATCTATATTTGATTAATACCTTATTTCGCTTTATGCTTTTTTGTGACTATTTGCTTTTGGGAACAGCTGATGTCAATTCAGTGCTTGCACAAAAAAACAATGATGCGAGACAACACTGTTGTGTGCGATGCCCATGTTTGGTTTAATCTAAGTCAAAGTGAAACAATCAATATTAACTACATGGTCAAATAATTTTTCAACCCCACATTTTAAAATATTCTATCAAATTAAATATAT